GAAGTTATTATTTTGACATTATCAATCGTTTAAGGAATGCTAGACCAGATATAGTCTTCTCATCAGATTTTATTGTGGGTTTTCCTGGTGAAACAGACGAGGATTTTGCCGATACTTTGGATTTAGTGAAAAAAGTGGGTTATGGGCAGTGCTATTCTTTTAAATATAGCCCAAGACCTGGCACTCCTGCGGCGGTTAAGGATCAAGTACCTGAACATATTAAATCTGAGCGTTTAGCTATCTTGCAGCAAGAGCTATCTCGCCAACAATTATTATTTAATAACAGTTGTATTGGCAAAACAATGCCTGTATTGTTTGATCGTGATGGAAAATTAGATGGGCAATTGATCGGGAAAACTTGCTATATGCAATCGGTATATGTAACAAATCCGAATAGAGATTTATTTGGTAAAATAGTAGATGTGCGTATTACTATGGCTGGATTAAATAGTCTGAGTGGAACGTGTTAAATAATATCACTTAGTGATTAAGAATTTTTGTGTTATACTGCTAATGAGTATATAAATTTTGATGAACTACTATGGTTATTTCGCGTTTTCTCGATCCAAAAAATGATTTTTGTTTTAAACAAATCTTTGGCACAGAGAAAAATAAAGATATATTAATTCACTTCCTTAATGATATTTTGGGATATCAGGGGAAAGATCAAATCATTGATGTGAGTTTTCTTAAAACCATCCAAGATCCTGCAATTGCCGCATATAGGCAATCTATTGTCGATGTTTTGTGTAAAGATCAGAATGGCATTCAAGTCATTGTTGAGATGCAAGTTAGCGAGCATAAAGGCTTTGAAAAAAGGGCTCAATATTATGCGGCTAAAGCCTATTCGCAACAAATACTCAAAGAAGATAAAAATCATAAAAAGTTAGCAATATATGCTAAACTGAAAGGAGTAATATTTTTGGCTATTGCTGATTTTATCATGTTTCCTGACAAAAAACATTGGAAGTCAACCCATCGCATGTTGGATAGCAAGACGTATGAGCATGATCTTAAAGATTTTTATTTTATCTTTGCTGAACTAAAAAAATTCCATAAAACCCTTTATCAGTTAGAAAATATTGAAGAAAAATGGATGTATTTCTTTAAACATGCTCATCATAGCACTTTAGCCGAAATGGAACATTTAATTGGTCATGATATTATCATGAAAAGAGCTTTCCAAGCAATAGATCAAGCTTCTTGGACAGAGGCAGAGCTAAATACTTATGATCATATAACTAAAACCCAACTAGATAATTTAGCAGTAGAACAGTTTAAAATTGAACAAGCTGAAAAAGCTGCCGAAGCTAGGGGGAAAGCCAGAGGAGAAGCCAGAGGTAAGGAGAAAGGTAAAGAGGAAGAAAAAATTGCTATGGCAAAAGAAATGCTATTAGATAATGAACCAATGGAGAAAATTATTAAATATACTAAGTTAAGCAAAGAACAAATCGAAAAATTGAAATAAAACATATATTACGGAACATTGATGTGGAACTATTTCAAAAAAATTTTATTAATTTGCAGTATAAAAGAGCAGAAATATGATAAATTTAGAAACTTCACAGAGCCTAAATATCTTTATATATCTTATTTAACTTTATGAAATTATTATCAATCTTCTTTCTTGCTTTATGTTCTTTTTTTATAGTTGGATGTGATGCTAAATCTAAAGACCAGATGTTAATAGTTGGCACTTCTGCGGATAATCCTCCTTATGAATTTATTCAAAATGGACAAGTAGTTGGCTTTGACATTGACCTTATTAATGCTATAGGAGAAAAATTAGGCAAAAAAGTTATAATCAAAAATTATGACTTCAATGGTTTGATTGTATCTTTGACTAGCGAAAATGTAGATATGGTAATAGCTGGATTAAGCTTAATCGAAGAGCGAAAAAAACATATTAATTTTTCAATTCCATACACGGTAAGCAAAGTATCAATATTATACAGATCGGAAGACAATATAGAGAGTACTGGAGATTTGCATAATAAAGTCGTTGGAGTGCAACTTGGTACAACTTTGGCAAGTATAGTGCAAGATATATCTAAGCAATTTAATATTAGAATAAGTTATTTATCGAATAACTTAATGTTAGTTGAAGAATTAAAATCAAAAGTCGTAGATGCGGTAATGTTAGACGAATTGCAAGCTAAAAGATTTATTGAAAATAATCCTGGTCTAGCTAGTTTAAGCTTAAAGGATATGTCATCGGAGTTTGCTATTGCTATGCCTAAAAATTCTAATCTTGTGGACAGCGTCAATAAAGCTATTACTGAATTAACAAAAGATGATACTATTAGTAGTATTGCTCAAAAATGGCTTCAACAGTAAATTCAGAACAATTTAAGCAAGCTCTTGGTACTTTTCCTACAGGGGTTACTATAATTACCACTTCACATAATAGCAAATTATTTGGATTTACTGCTAGTTCATTTACTTCAGTGTCTTTATCGCCACCATTAGTATCATTTTGCCTTAATAAAGACTCCTTTAGTATTAACGCTTTTGTTACCAGTAATAATTTTGCCATCAGTATTCTGGCAGAGAACCAACAGGATATTTCCAGACATTTTGCCAAGTTCAGTACTGACAAGTTTGCTGACATTATATATAATTTGGGAAGCGTTACTAACTGCCCGTTGATTGAAGGGGCAATTTGTCATATTGAATGCAGTAAGTTCGATCAACATGAAGCAGGTGATCATATTATATTAGACCTCTTGCGTAATTAAATTTCAATTTCATAATTATAAATTCCTGCTAACAAGTTAAA